TGGTATTGATGGCACTCTGAACCCCAACTTTTTCGTGCCATCTGGTCTGGATGTCCTCAGCCCTATTGATCCGCAAGGACCTCAAGGTGGTGTGGACATGATGGGCACCAACGGTCTAGCTAGTCGGACTGCAGCCTTGCGCATCAACACTACTGTATCACCGGGTGGTCGGCCTTCGAGCGAGGAGCTCTCGGCGACGACGAGCGTTTCTGGTAGTGAGTGGAGCTCCGAGGTGGGTGACAGCGAGCGTGGACAGAGAGAGGTGTGGAGCGGCGAGCTGAGTAGCGTAATTGGTCTGCAGAAACGTGGCCTGAGAGGATTGATGGAGGGCAGAAGAATGCGAGAACGTACAGGCACAGGAACCATGAACTCAGGTCCAGCCATGAGTGGTAGGGTTGGACTCGGAATCGCCAGCGGAAGCTGATCCGAGGTGGAAAGAGAATGGAGATGATTTTTGGCATCTCAGGACATCTTATGATTAACGAGTTGACGGCCGACGTATTAGACCATTCGTGTGCTTCTCCCGCAGTGAAGGTGACCAGTACGGAACGTTGTCAGAATTTGTGCCTTTGCCCCCTTTTTCCTGTATATATTACAGTACATACTTGAGTGGAATGGGGTGGGTTGCTAGCATATGGAATTGCATCACATTGTTTGCTGATTTTGTGAGCCATGACAAAGAACGTTCAGAGGGTTGCAGCATGTGAACATGTGCCTAAGACTTAACTGCTGCTCCCATCGCGTTTGGGGCTCTTCTGTTTGATAATCTTGATCGAGCATCGGCTTTGAGGACTTAGGCCCGGAGGACGCGATCCTTGCATGGAAACCTTCCCGGCGATCAGCGGTATACAGAGCGCGGTGCCGCAACTACGCCGTACACCAACGCAGTAAGAAGCCAGCGACCCGTAGAAAGCTTATGGAAGTTATGGCAAAGCTAGTGCTGACTGCGGCCTGTGTATTTTAAGCAAAGCGAAACCATCGCTGTAGGGGGATAGGAATGCGGCGTGAGAACCTCGGCAGAGGTGCAGAGAGAGAGCTGGAAACTAAGCAATTTGAAGTGATCTCTGCGAAGGCTTTGCCAGTTAGTCAGTGAGCATATCGGATCCTCAGCCGAGCTTGGTAAGACGAAGACGATGGGATAAGTTGACTATCGGTGTAGATTGAGAATTCATTATACCGACTTGTTAGTCAGTTTGCATGTTTGACTTGAGAAGGTTGATGCTTCTATTTTAGGTCTTTTTAAGCAATTCCCGTCTGTTCATTATCATGCGGGGGTGCTTACAGTGATGAGCCTCAACTTTGAACTTTGGCTTTTACATCCATGCTTCTTCTAGCTTGGCTCTAGATTCGGCAGTCTCTTTCTCCTGTGAATTAAGGCAGATCCCCAAGGCGAGGAAATTTGTTCAGGACTTGCCTACAGGGACTTTCAAGACTCAAGACGGGTGGTGAAACCCAACAGCCGTTTTGACAGTGCATTTCAGGGGTTCGCCGGCATGGGTGTCAAGACGTCCAAGCAACGGCGCAGCACGCAAACGTGGCTGTTCTCTCAGCCTCAGCGGGGTCCATCGCTCTTTTCTTATCCCAACGACTAACCACGCTGGGTAAGCCCGTCTTAATCATCATGAGGCCCTGGAACTGTTTGCAGGCCGCGTTTCTGCGGGCAAGCACTGCGACGGCTACCCCCGTGCAGACCTGTCAGACTCGAGGCCGGCAGGCCAGGGACCATGCAGCGTGGGGTCCGGTGCAAGGGGCAGATGGAAGATCAACTCCCCCCTCGAAGCAACGAAGCAACGGACCCGAGAGCTTGGCAATCCTTCTGGGCTCAGCCCTCAGCTATTCTGCTGTTTGGGAATCAGCCACTGCGGCAGATAATGCACTTGGGAAAGCCCCTTATGGTAAGGAAGGGGAGTCTTGGACCCCATGTTGGTTATCGATCGCGAAGTGTTGTCGGCCCTCATGTAGGTCTGCTGGGCCTGGTGGTTGCGGCACAGCGAACTTGTTATTTACAAAGCATTGCGAGCTGCGATGGGTGCATGTTTCTCTCTCGATCGTGTGTCTTGGGGTGGCTTCACTTGAGTTGACATTGACTCACCTGAAGTGCTTCAGCTGTTTGCTCTGCTCGCCTGCTGATTACTTTATTAGATTTCTCTTCACTTTTCTGATTCGTATCTCTTCTTTCTCAGTTCATCATGGGTCTTATTCAAGCAGGCATTCTACTTGCCTATTTGGCACCTTTGTATCATGCAAGCCCAGCGCCGATTGATAGTGTTCATCTTGCCCGCTTTGACACCGATCTAGTTGTACGAGAGGACCAGCAGCTATACAAGAGAATATCAACCGATTTCAGCTTAGAACAGACATTAGAAAACGAGGTGCTGTTCGATGGGTAAGTCACATGGTGGGAACTTCACCTGCAGTTCTTCGATATTAACAGAACCCTAGGACGTCAGGCATCTTTGGAATTCTACCTATAGATGCACCTCCTATAACAGTGGTTTGTACAAAATGTTGCACCAAGGGAGATGTCACTGCTTCCTTTACGGATGACGCCATAGTGAACCCGACACTACGATTTGATCTAAAAGGCGTTGAAGCATTCGTGGAGCTTGATGTCGTTGCAAACGGCGACAGTAGCTTTACGCTGCCTCTATTCCAATTACCTCCAGGACTATTGGGCTTCAGCATTCCGAGCGGACCAAGCCTTGGATTGACTTTCCAAATCGACCTGGTCTTTAATCTTGCCGCCAACCTCGACGTTCATGGAGGATTCTTTGTCGAGCTGCCCGAAGATGCATTCTTTGAGGCTAGCATTCTGGATGGAGCTTTGACTAATGTGTCTCTGTAAGTTGCAAAGCTCGTCTTTCATCACCCACGTTCTGACCAACTTACTAGTGATGGAATCTTGAGCAAGTCTCTTCCACTTACGGTTCACAATGGCAATAGCTCAGCGACCTTCCAGGTTGATCTTCAGCTCATGGCCCAAGTTGGAGTTGACACGACAAGTAGCATTCTCCCTGTCTTCGATAGTTTTGGCATTGGCGCTCAGGTCGGCGTCTTCGTCAACCTCGTCGAATTTATCGCACAGCTGGAGCCAACAGATGATTGTCAGCTTCAATCTACCGAGACATTCGATGTCAATGTCGGCGCCTTCTTGAAGGCAGATATAGAGCTCGGAGATGACAAGACCTTCGGCGCGGTGCCCACTGTGTCTACGACCTTGTTCGAAGCTGTGATTGGCACTCAATGTCTTGTATCAGCTGGGCTACCACTTCCAACGCGAAGTTCAGATGTTGTCTCGGCCCCGGCCTGTATTGTCACCACTTCGACTTCAACATTGCCCCATCCCACTGGCTTCTTCACGCCATCCTACACACCAGCTCCAACGGTTGGCGCGAGTCAATACTACAAAAGAACACCGCAGAACGATACTGAACCGGTCGCCACATCGACTGTCTTTCCTACAACGACGTTGACCATCACCGCCTGCGCATCAGCAGTGGTGAATTGCCCCGCGTCTCTGCAGAATGTGATCGAGGTCACCAAGACAATCTGCGCATCATCGTCCTCGTTCTCGGGCGTCTGCTCGACTGTCACGGATGCAACCCCTCTCTCGAGCTTGACCTCGCCAGCCACGCAGACATTCGTTCCGGGGAATGTGACCACTTCAGCAAGCACCACTGTAGAAGCTTCATCCACAGCATCGATTGTCTCTGTTCTGCCGACCCAGTCAGGCGGAGGGGATGGGTTCCTTCATGTCAACGCAACCACTACCTACTTTCCGAGTGGAACAGGTGGTGCGACAGTTACGCCTTCTGGTGGTGTGGTCACCGTCTCGGGGGCGGCTAGAGACTATATGGGTGTTAAGAGTACATGCTCTGCCGTGCTTGCGGGCTTGGCGTTCTTTTTTATTGTTGCTCTATGAAGGAAAGTATGATTTATGTACATGTTTTGGGTTATCATGTTATGATTGTGACGATCATCAGGCGTTCATAGGTCGGGTGTGCAGGCTTATTTATACCCTACAATAATAAAATTAACATTTACGACACGAAAAGAAATTAGTGCATCTTGATACAAATTCATCGCATTCAGCTACAGACTAAGTGCTTGAAAGTTGATATAAGATAACTCATGACAGCCATTGGTACATGAATCGAAGATTCTACAAATACTGGATAGACACAATGGCTATATCTATGAAACCCCAGAAGTCTCGCCTTCTTTACATTGCCTATAGCAGTGTAGCTACCAGCTCATGAGTACAACAGGAGGTAGACCATGGGTAACGCCGTCCCGACGGGTTTTAATGAGAGCACTCCAGCTCTTCCTCATCAATACTGTCGAAGATGATGAGGTCCTTCAAGTCTGATATCATCGGTCTCTGATGATGATATCCGAGAAGAAGTAAATGCCGCGGGAAATTGTGGAGTTAAGCTAAGCTTGATCAGATTGAAGCTGAGTTGAATATGGCAATTGCCACTTTAATATAAAAGGTCACTAAAGAACACCACTTTACAGTAGATCAAAATGAGGGTCAGTCTACTAAACTCGCTAATTCGCATCCGAATCTTTTAGCATTGATGCTCTGCTCTAGCACTATCTAAGCAGGCTACTTCGCCTCGAGCATCGATAGCAAAACAGTCATAGCCACCACAGTGATAGCTATCAGAGACATGTTTGCGAAACCTGCAAAAGCTCACCGCGATGCTGCGACTCGGCTTATCAGATCGATGGGCTCGGAAGTACGATGCTATCGCACGCTATCAGATCCCGCGACTACGCGGGCCAAGTGGACCCGGAGGACGACACCGGTGTTAGCTCCCGCTATGCGAATATGCAGCAAAGCGGGAAGATCCTCCAGACTCGCCCCTAATAACTTGCCTGCCCTCCCCAACCGCGATCTTGCAGGTCGATCTCTCCTCCTTTCCTCAGTTGCTCATCTTCAAAAGCGAAGAGTGTCCACGAAACATTCCAACCCGTCATCTGGACCTGCCGACACCATGACTATTAACGCCGCATCTGCGCCTTACAAGGCATTGGTCCTTGGTGGCTCTTATGGTGGCCTCTCAGCAGCCCTCAACTTGATTGATCTGTGTGATGCGAGGCCCGCGAGGTGTGGAAGGGGAGATGAGCCCCCGGCTGCTGAAAAAATCTCTGTCGATGTCACCATTGTTGATGAGCGGGATGGCTTTTGTAAGTCGGACAAGTACAGGCATCTTGGACGAATGCTGACATTGTCTCTCAGATCACTTAATTGGTTCTCCACTGGCATTTGCTTCTGAGGCATATGCGGACAAGGCTTGGGTCAAGTATGAGGATGTAGTCCCACTGCAGGCTCCGAACGTCCATGTCATTCAGGGGACAGTGAACGGGGTCGACTGCTCGGCAAAGACAGCTACGATTACTGAGTCTGGCCAAACGTCGACAAGAGAGCTCACGTATGATTTCCTCGTTGTTGCTAGTGGACTGAGACGTGTCTTCCCTGTGGTTCCACAATCTCTCAGACGCAAGATGTATCTCTTCGAGACTGGTGACCACATCCGGGCCGTCACTAACGCCACAGATGGTGTTGTCGTCGTCGGTGGTGGCGCTGTCGGCATTGAGATGGCAGCTGAGCTCAAATTACTTCAGCCGAATATCAAGGTGACGCTGGTGCACTCTCGTGACAAGCTACTATCGTCAGAAGGGCTACCAGACGACGCGAAGGATCGCGCACTTGAGCTGGTTCAAGAGGCAGGAGTCGAGACGCTGATGAACCACCGTGTCGCAGACCTCAAGGAGACAACCCGGTCAGACGGTCAGACTATTACAGATATCAAGTTCACGAATGGGGAGTCTATGACGGCCAGCCGTGTGATCATGGCGGTGTCGAGGAGCATTCCGTCAACAACGTACCTGCCTTCTGAGGCGCTTGACCAAGAAGGATACGTGAAGATTCAACCAAGGTGAGTGATGTGAGATGAATAGTCTCAAATCAATCTTCTGACATGCTATCTAGCTTGAATTTCCCTGTCGAGGTTCCCAACTCGGGGCATCATTTCGCCATTGGCGACTTGGCTGCCTGGTCCGGTATCAAGAGATGCGGTGGTGCCATGCATATGGGTTACTATGCAGCTTCCAACATCCACCAAGTCATGCTTCAGCAGCTACAGGGAAGGGATCCCAAGTTCAACGAATTGGCCGAGATACCGCCCATGATTGGATTGGCTGTCGGCAAGAAGGCGATGTCTTATGGACCGGGTCAAGGCGTTATGTCAGGAGAGGACGTCATGGAAGTCTTCTTTGGAGATGATCTTGGTTTCACAAGTGAGTGCAAAGGTCTCCTGCAGAAAGTGAAGACGAATGGCTAACTGTTTTAGTCTGCTGGAAGTATTTGAAGCTGGGTCTACCGATCGATGCTAAATAAGCATGAATTCGCTTTGTTATCTCACACAAAATCATGGCTGGGTGGCGTTTTGGGATATGGCATCAAAGATTTTCTCGCAAGAATCGATATATTGGTTTAATTATACCAAGGAATAAACATCATAAAAGGATAGCTTCTAGCACGACCATAGACACGAAGTAATGCACGTGAGTAACTTTCTGTCGCGTTTTCTTTTTCCGCCTGAAACCCTTCCGAGCTCCGGAAGCCCAATAAGGAATTTCAGAACTGAATTCCCGGTTGTCTTGATAATATGAGGTAACCCCTAGTCTAGAATGTCTTTTCGGGTCAAATTGCGTATTTTGTCCTTCCGCCCTGCCTTTTCACAGCTTTGGTACCAATCCAATGCCAGTTCCACCCACCACCTTGACCTTGCCGCCGCTATCCTCACCAAGTGGACATATCTGGAAGAAGCGCTCCTTGGAGCACTTCATCAATCCACTGCGCTTATGAGGGAGGTCTACAAACTTGTCGATGCTGAAGCCGTGCATCAGGTCATACGTCAGCACGATAGAGTTGGTAAACTTGGGTTCGCCGACAATGTACATGGTGCGCGGGTCATCCAGGAAGAGGTAGTGCATTTGGCTCGACCACCATGCTCCAACCCGGTGCTGTCCTCGGTATCGAATGTCGCCGACCAGGGAGTGTCGGCCCCTGTCGAAGTCGTTGGCTGGGTAATAGGCCCCGAGGCGGTCCTCCTTGCCCCAGTAGATCTCGAAGTATGCAAATAGGGTGTCATCGAAGGCTGCCAGAACGGTGAATTGGTGAGGGTCATCGTGGATTTTGCGCAGGTACTCGCGGTGCTGTTCTAGCGTCCCCGTCTCATTCCAGCCCTGCGAGACGCGAGGATCATTCTGCCACTGGTGAAACAAGGCCAGGTGCTCTGGGTTTTCATAATCAAGTGCGATCATGGAGAATGTTTCCTTGAGGTGTGGAATGTATCTGCTATATATGACAGAACCCGGCCGAGGTTTAGCGGCCCGTCTGGGGTGCCAACAGAGCGCAGTTTGTGGATTGTTGGTCATGATGTAGTCCAGAGGTGCTGGCGGTAGTGAGGAGAGACCCGCAGCATTGTCTTCAGGAAGCCAGATAGGGCGAGAACCGAATGGAGAGCCAGCGCCTTGCCAGAAGGTGGACCGGATGAGGATCAGCTCATCTGGCAGGCCAGTATGGGAGTCTCCAAGGGGGTGATTGACGGCGAGCATGACTGTTTTCAATTGTGTCGCAATGATATCCTTTCCCTCACCGACGAGTCTCAGGCGGATGAACTCCTCGTCTGCTCGAACCGTAAACAGAATATAGCTGAGGAGCCATACCTGGCCCAGCGACGGTGTGGCATCGTCCCAGAGGATCGTGACAGACGGAGATCGTCGTGCGCGCGCCCAAGCTGTGTTGTTGGAGTCGGCAGGTCTGTCACTAGATTTCAAGTCCTGTGGCTCCGTGAAGTAAAGCTTCTCATTGTGCAATGGTTGCGGAGGAGTTGTTCGAGAAGCATCCTGCTGGCCTACTCTGAGCTGGAACAGCTTTGCCTCGGGAATCTCTGGATGCGACTTGCTGCTCTGGAAGACAAGATACGGGGTCAAGTAGGGATGAGGCAGTTTCAAGAAAGGCTCGGTGGTAGGCCAGTCTGCAAGAGATATACGCGCCATGATGAAGGAATGAATGAACGAGCGTGAATACCAAGATCCTACCCGACGGACTGACAGACAGACAGACTTGAGTGAGTGACCGCGAATCTACTCTACAAATGACTGCAAGTTCCCAGCCAAAATTCTGTTCCCCACGATGGACGAAAGCTTCTTTCTTGTCCCCTGTCGCATCATTTTTGCGTGTCCCCCCCGGTCGATCGGCCATAGCACACATACACGCACGCACATGCATGGCATGGCATGGCCTCGATTCTTGGGACAGACCTGACCTGACCAGACAGGGGGCAGTCTTCGGTCGACTTGACTAACCCGACTTATTCATTCTTATGCAGCAAACGAGAAGCGCCGGTCTCCACCCGGTCGAAGCTCGAGATTCGAAATTCGAGCTGCGGGTTTTTTTCCTTTTCCTTCTATTGCTCTTGGCTCCATTCAGTCATCATCAGTGACGACGCCGTTGCAACCCCAATCTTGCTGGCGGTCCAATGACGGGCAGCAGCAGGATGGGGTGCTCTGCCAGTGGGTGCCAGTGGGTGCCAGTGGATGCCGGTGGATGCAGTGAAGAGGGGCGGCGCCGGGGTTTGGTGGCAGGGAGGACGGATCTGATAACTTTACCTGGACGCTGAAGAGCGGATCTGATAATTTTGAACCTCCTTTAGCTGCATCTCTAGCTGACTTTCTAGCCGGTTAGGCCTCTTTAGACCGCCGGTTTCCGGAGGAGCGGCCTGCTGCGGATCTGATAACTTTTCTTGGTGGTGGGGAGAGCCACTCGAGAGCCCCTCATCGGTGACGACCCCCCTGTCTTTGTCTCTCTTTCTCTGTCTCTCTCAGTCTCTTCCTGGTTTTCTTTTCCTTTTACTCACTGCAATGTCGTACTCGGGTGGGAATTGAGCGGCATCGAAGCTTCCATTCCAAGAACCGAACAAATGAGAGTGGACTCTGGGTTGATGTTGTACTGTACAACCGAGTTTTCTACTTACACGTGGGCTCTATAGTCGGCCATGTGTCTCACTCGGTTCGATGTAGCTGCATTCTGAAGAGTCGAGCCCTGCTTGCTTGGCTCAACCGTCGGCTTGTTGGAGCCGAACTCTCTCTTCTTTTGGAGCAATGCAGAAGTAAGTGACAAGCAAGCACAAGCACACGGTCTTCAGCCAAGCCTCTCGTCTGAATGGCCTCTCTAAGTCTGTCTTCTATTTCTATCTAAGCAAATACGCCGGCTTGTCACCAATGCCTACTTTAAAACACTTTTGATAACCGATGGTGTGAGCCTCTTTGCTTGGCTGACACCACTACGGCTTCTTTCCCGAGGCCCACGCCATACACATGTGGGACTGATGCTCGTATCTGTCTGTATGTATCTTGGACGAACGCGCCATTGTCCTCTAGAGTTTCGACATCTTCCGGCCCTGCAGAATCTCGTAGCCGACCTTGGCCAGCTCGAATTTCCTGACCTTGCCGCTCCCCGTCAGCGGCACGTTCTTGGGCACCCCGCTCTCCCCCAGCCAGAAGACGTGAGTCGGCGCCTTGTGCTTGCCGAGCCTCCTTGTCACCCAGTCCTTGATCTCGGTCTGGCCCGGCCGGCTGTCACCGTTGGTGTCTAGGAATGCGGCCACCACCTCTCCGTAATGTGCATCCTTGACGCCTGTCACCACTGCCAGCGTGATAGCAGGGTGCTCCATCAGACGCTCTTCGATTTCGAGGGGGTAGATGTTTTCTCCTCCTGTGGTGCACCCGTGTCAGCAAACAATGCAATTCAATTCGGGCATGGCAGACGTAGCCTCCTTACCTCTGATGATGATATCCTTGAAGCGGCCCGTGATCGTGCAGTAACCACGCTCGTCAAAGACCGCTTCGTCCCCAGTCCGCAGCCAGAGGATCCCACTTTCGTCCCGGGACATGACCTCGGCTGTCTTCTCCGAGTTGTCCCAATATCCCGCCTGCAATTGGTATCCGGCCATGCAGAGCTCTCCTCGCGTTCCAACCGGCACAATGTTCCCGTCTATGTCGACGATCTTTGCGTGTGCATGCGGCATGAGTGACCCGACGGTAGTGAGACGGACATTGACCGGATCATCGGTGAACGCATTGAAGCATGTCGGCGATGCCTCTGTCAATCCATAGCTTGAAGTGAATTCCGTCATGCCCAGTTTTGATACCAGAAGCTCCATCAAGTACCGAGGAACTGGTGCGCCTGCGATGATGCCGGTCCTCAATCTCAATCTTGACGGGTCGAGACTTGAAGCTTCGGGCAGCGCCAACAGTGTGTCGAACATGGCGGGAACTCCATGCAACGCCGTGCACTGCTCCTGCTCGATTGCCTTCAAGGTCGCCGGGGCATCAAAGACCTCCGCTGGATAGACAACGCTGCCGCCGTGCGTGATGGACGCTAGGAGTCCTAGAACCAACCCGAAACAATGGAACAGTGGGGGTGGGCAGCAGAGCACATCGTCTGGAGTGAGTCGCATACGGTCGCCAATGAAACGCGCGTTGTTGACCACATTGCTAGCAAGTCTCAGTACTAAGCTTCCACGTTCTCCCGGGGAACTTACTGATGTGTCAACATGGCTGCTTTTGGATGGCCTGTTGTCCCACTCGTGAATTGCAAATTGCACACATTGTACGGCGACCCTCGAAGCTCCCTGCGGTGAAGGTGGTATGGATCCTGAGTGCTGCCCTTGAGAATGAGATCGTTATACGTCCTGTAGTTACTCGATTCGCCTCGAAGTATCACCACCTTTCGCCGGGGCCCATTCCGAGATGCCAGCTGTTCGAGAAGAACCTCATTGTCCAGACGACCTATCCGCTTGGTTGTGAAGAACAGCTTGCAGTCTTCAAGGGGTTAGATCACAGCCAAATAAGGAACAAATAAGTCGCGCGCACCTGTAAAGTCTAAAGCATACTGAGCCTCAGTCGGCGTGTATGTATTGTTTAAGATGACAAGAATTGCCCCTATCCTAGCGACGGCGAAGAATACCGCGGCATAATGCTCACAGTTGCCAGCCATTATGGCCACTCTGTCTCCGAGCCCAATGCCCTCTGCCAGCAGAGCCCTGGCGAGAAGGGAGCTTTGCCTGTTGAGTTCGTCGTATGTCCATCGCGCTCCTGTCCAGGGAATCACCAAACAATCCCTTTCTCCATTGTCTTGACACTGGTGGTCGAGAAGCTCGCCCAGCGTCAGATCCAGCAACGGCGGGTCCACCGGGCCGTGAAGAATTGACGGTCGCTGGTGCCGGATGGCGGGAAAGTCACCACCAGTAGGCAATTGGAGAGCCATCGTGACGCAAGAGTATAAGTCCAATTGTGTCTACTGGGTGTTGACAATGGACGGGGAGATGTCCAAGATGTCTTTAGCCGACCGCGATCGCCCCTTGAACTGAAGAATTTTGGACGCGCAAGGAAGACACCAATTTTCACCGCAGTGACATCTTCCACCAGCACACAAATAAGTCTTTACTCTACGTAAAATGGGTGTGTGGCCCAACTGTAGCCAATGCCGATGCCCCTGTCCTGCGTCATTGTGCCTCGGGCCTGTCGCAATGCCCTCTGCATGCTTCGATGCGGAGTCTGAATGAGTGATTTTCAAGAAAGGTCCCCTTGGATCTTCTTGGTGGGCTACTTAGTGGAGGACATTCATGTATTGGTACACCTCCCTGCAGCAAACTATAGGCCAAGCTCTCCAAACGAGGGTGTCCACACCCCTGTAGTGGCTACCGTCTCACTGCATTATCAGACGATCTGATAAGATTACACGGCCAAGGGGTCAATGTCTAGTGTACCGGTGGCCCCCCGATACCGGTAGCCCGGACCCTCCCTCCTCGATGAGCACATAGCGCTCCCACACTTGCGGCAGATATAAGTTAAGCTTGTTAGTGACCCATGATCCCGCCCAAGCCCATGGCGTGCGCATTTTGCCAATGCCGTTCCGAGTCGAGCCGACCTGCCCTGGAAAGTCTCTCGTAATGGCCGAAGTCCTCCGAGCCGCGGTTCATTTTGATTCACCGCGGTTTTTGGAGATCTTTTAGTGCTAATTGCATAAGTTGAACATTGTGCTTTGAGAGCAAGAGTCTGTTGTCTTACAGTGCAGATGCAGCTTTCAATTGTAGCTGTTAAGTTCATTGGCCTCCAAATTGAAACCCCCTGCAGAGCTGAGAGATATGACAGCCCGTGATTAGAATTCCCATACAATATGATCACGGATATCTAGCACGTTTTAACCATTGTCTTTTTTTACACAACAATTTGCGTTCTTTCCCATGTCTATGTATATGATATGATAGTAGTCCTCGACTTGGTGAGAAGTGCCGCACGTCTGTTTGAGGCCTTCGCGATCCTGTTCCATCAATGTGTCTCAACTGTTGAATAGTCTTTCAGCCTCGAAAAGAACCATTTGGATTGCTCTGCACCTCGACAGACATCTTGTAGGCAGCTCATGCTAGTTGCTCAGCCCGGATGATTACTAGCCTTTGTCTAAATAGACGATGGTCTAGACTCGTTACAAGATCGAGTGGGCCACACGGCTAATGATGCGTCTCGCGCTGCCTTAATACTGTTCTATCAGGCTTCTCAAATGCATTGGGAGTGTGTCCTTGGTCATGAACTCGCTCGGCTCTACTACGCTGACCAAAAGTATCGTGGACAACTAAGCAACAGTCTGGAAACTTGCTCTTTTCATGGAAATGATATCTTGAAGATTATCTTAACTGGTTTCGTAGAATTGGAAGAAATCATGCTTTTATGGCGCTCGGCGAGCTCGCCGAGCCGGCGGCTCGTTGCTTGAAGTTGGCTGCGGTAGGCTTGCGGTAGCTACAATGCGGGGAAAGAAATGGCCGTAACTATGGTATAATCGTCAGCAACTCTTCGAGACATTCGCCTCGTCTTAGTAATACCAACTTGGAATGAAAGGTATATAAAATCTAAAATGAGGTAGAGTTAGACTAGGTGAATGGTGTAAAGCACAATTTCACCATGACGGGCCCTACTAAACCACTGAACATCATCACGGTGAGTGAGCTTTCTAGATACTAAAGAGTAAATGCTGATATCCGCAGGTTGGCGGCTCATTAGCCGGACTGATGACGTCGATTGCATTGCGTCGTCTGGGTCACAACGTCAGAATATTCGAACGCTCATCAACGCCCCTGCTCCATGATCAGGGGGCGGGCATCGTCGCGGGAGGCGACACGCAGGAGTTCCTGGACAAGTACGACAAGACAAAGACCTGCCCTTCTGTGACGAGTCGCATCCGCCTCTACCTCAACCAAGATGGCAGCATTGGGCATAGAGAGCACATGGCGCAGCAGATGACGAGCTGGGATTTGCTGTACCATGTCAACCGAGCGAATTTTGACAACCTTAGGACTGAGTACGTCCAAGGAAGCTTGAACAATCTTGAAGGAGAAGGATATGGACTTTACGAGTACGGTCGGCAAGTTACCGGCCTAGCCGACGCTGATGATCAAGTCAAAGTGTCTTACAGGAGTACTATCGAAGGGGAGGATCACGACCAGACCAAACATGACTTTGCAGACTTTGTCATCATTGCCGATGGAGCCTCGTCAAGTATGCGAAAAGCATTGAGCCCCTCGTCTACAGACCGCAGCTATGCGGGATATGTTGCGTTCAGGGGAACAGTCCCCGAAACACAGCTTTCCGAAGATGCGCGGGCCGTTTTCGTTGAGAAGTTCCCCTTTTACCACAGCAAGCACATTCAAATTCTCGCCTATGCGATACCGGGGCGTAACGGAACTGTCACACCGGGATCGAGGCTTATCAACTGGGTGTGGTACTGGAACGTGAGAGGAGAAAGTGAAGAGTACCAACAAATATTCACCGACAAGCACGGCAAGCCTCATCGGTGGACGCTTCCGCCGGGTAACAATATGGATCATGGGGTCTGGGAAAAGCAGAAGCAGCGAGCCGCAGAGACATTGCCGCCTCAGTTCTCAGAGCTCGTCTCGAAGACAGCTTCGCCGTTTGTTCAGGCCATCACCGATCTCGAGGCACCGGCAGATGGCAAAATATGGCTGTTTGGGGGAAAGGCGGTCATAGTCGGCGATGCAGTTGCTGGGTTCCGGCCACACACCGCTGCGTCAACGAGTCAGGCTGCTTTCCATGCTTTGACTTTGCCCGAAGTGTTTACTGGCGGGATGAGCAAAGAGGATTATGAGTCTCGGGTCATGCGCTTTGCGACGAGCTGGCAAATGCGAGGCGTGATGATAGGCAATAGGAGCCAGTTTGGACCTCAGTAGACCAATGAACTTTTGCAAGACCGCATTGATAGTTACTTGATCGTTTGTATTGGCGTATAATAGTAGAAGGACAGGATATGCATATTCTAACCACTTCCCATGCCCCTAAATGCCTCATGCAGATGCGCCACCTTTCTCATGCGAAAACCAACGCCAAAAACGCTTATATATGCTAGAAACAAACCGACACCAACATATGAAGTGTCACGAGACACTGGTTCCGACTTGCGTCGGATGCGATTCTGTGATAATGCTCCCCAGCCTTTCAACACGCTTACTCCGCTTATTCAACTTCGCATAACGTCACATGCACCTGATCCCAACTTTCAATCTATCGTACCATGAAGATGGTACCAAGCCAATATTGTCTCTTTATGCCTGCCGAGCCCTTACTGGGCGTCCTTCGGAACTTCCTCGTAAAGAACGTCCCTTTCATAAGGTTCAGGATCAGACACGCTCTCGTCCGTGTGCGAATAGTCGACATCTCCATCAGACGTATGCACATCAGAAGTTTCGGCACCAGTTGTCGGCGAGAGGACATCCAGTCGTGGCGACGGGGTGCCGAGCTCAAAGTGTGGCGGAGGGAGTGTCTTTGGCGCATGTGCAGATTCTGGAACCGTGACTGTTGCACCATCCAGATAGACTGGGTGCAGAGACATATTTGGCAGAGTGATAGGTTTGGAAAAATCAAACTCACTGGCAGTTTCCTCGGGCGCGTTCCCGGAGTTTGGGACAGGGCTTGATGCAGGGCCTTGAAGCGTCAAAGGGACATTAAGGTGGCTCTTGGCAGCTCGCATTAGCCTTGGCTTTACGATGTGATTGCGACCGGCCACACCAGGATTGGCCCCAGATCTCCTAGATCTTAGCTCAAGACGTTCTTCTTGCTCCGTCTCTTCGTCGGTGAGAACGTTTTCCAGGTTCATCATCATATTTCGCTGCCTTGCAAGTAACTGAATGCTACTTCCGGATCCACGGCGGTGGTGATGACGCGACCGATCTTTGTCAAGAGACACAGCGCGTGGAGGTGAGCTTCCGGTTAGTATTTGTAGTCCTCGACTATCACCATCTGCTTCAGCCCCTACGCCAATGCCCAGTTCCCTCGACCCAGTAATGAGCCGTCTGAGATTGATCTGACTTGCACTGAAGGCCACTCGCGCCCGTAGAGTGTTCAACGCACGATCAAGCGCTAGTTCTATAGCGCATTGATTCTTAATCCGACTCAGCTTTGGCCAAGTCGCCTTCTCACCAGCGAGACATGTTCGGAGCATAAAGTCGACGGTAGGATTCTTCAGAATGCGGGGCACATCCTGGATGGTGAATTCCGGAATGATGTTGATGTCTCCCGAGTACTTTTGGCTCAAAACACTGCGCAATTTGGTGACTAGATTTGGAAATATGCGTAATTCGGCCATGAACTGTAGTCGATGTAGTGCCTCATCTTTGGCAAGTGTCGTGAACGTGTATAGCCATGACGTCGGATCGTGCAGAGCCGAGCCCACCTGGGGCCGTGAGCGGTCATGGGCCGGGTCCAGTCGATCTTCCTTGGACATGAAAGGTGTAATATGGGGATTCACTTGGGATACGATGAAATGATTGACGTTGAACATTTCGGCGAGTCGCGTCATGGGCAGGTCATTGTCCACCGATCCATCCATCCACATTTGCTCGGTGGGATTCCAGGGCACATGTTCACCTGTGTGTGGGTTTTTGGCGAGAAGGGGTGCGGCGCTGAAGATCAGAGGCACGGAGCATGAGGCCAGCACGGCGGACCAGATCAAGACGTTTGGCGCTGTGATGTAGTTGAGGAGTCTCGGGAGCTCGTAGATGGATGCGGTTGAGACGGAGATATTACATATTCTTCTTGTCCTGTTGTAAGCCTCTTGAAAGGTGACATCACCAAGCAAACCGCGCATGACGCGCGTCAAATGTTTGATATCAGACCAGGTGCCTTCAGTTAGCAGCCTCTTAAGATGGTCTGCGACACCTTCCTCGTTTCCTTGTTCTTCGAACACGGCCAAGTCCCCGTATGGGAACTTATCGAGGACGTCTGGGATTTCGTCGTTCGTTCGTGTACAGAGGACAGAACAAACGATTGAGCCCGCCGAGGCGCCCGATATGATGCGCGGCAGGAGGTTGGCGTGGAACATGGCTTTCAATACACCGATATGCATCATGCCCCATGTGCCACCTCCACTAAGCATCAAAGCCGTGCGCCCGAAGCTCTGGCGCGCCAGGACCACGGTCTGTAGGACATCCTTGTGATCGATGTCGTCCGGGAGGGCGCCGGGAATGCCGCTCTTCTCCACCAGGTCGTCAATCGTTCTAACCGCAGACTCGACATACTGCTCAATCAGATGTTTTGTGCCGTCGTACGAGTGACGGTAGAGTTCGATATTACCCATGCCACCGAGGTCCCGGGTGAGTCCGGTCCGCACGAGGTGCATCATGGCTCGGATATCGCAATTGATGCGCGCCTGATCGAACTCGCGCAGTCGTGAGGATATGAGATCCGGGTTGTATTCTCCGTTAGGAGCCGAGTCGTCAAGTTTCCAGAAGTCGTTGCCCTCAAGCAGGTCGAGCTCGCGAGCGGCGGCAGTCCATTGAGAATTGTCCGTGGCCTGTAGGCATGACGTTGTTAGCACCGAATGTTCCTGACTGGGAGAGGAGGCGGGAGATCATACATTCTTCATACGAAGCACCAGGATCTGTCTCTGTTGCTCGGTTGTGCGTCCATCCTTGTCGCGCTTGCTACCACCAGGTTTGTCTGGTGTGTCGCCCTGTCCGGGTCGCCGCAATGCGAGAATGCTGTTCGCTCCACGAAGCAGCCGTGAGAGCGGCTGCTTGCTTGGGACCGTCGACTGCTGGGGCGATGTTCCGGTGGCCGGCGGGCGCTCGTGAGAGGGTATGGGACTTGGACGAACCCATGGCAGGGAGTAGAAGAGGTCAGTCATGGCCCGGGAGGTCGCGTGACGCAAGACCCGAAAGGGAGTTCATGAGAGGAGAGAGAGACACAGAGAGAGAGAGATGTGTCGGATCGAACTGGAGCTGGGACGGTGGATTGAACCGAACCCAAGCCGTCTGCTGAGTGAAGACGCCCTCCGAGATGCCGACCCTTTTGGTTGAAAGCTGTCAGTCGTAAATGGAAGAGGACGTCGGCATGCGCGCGCGTGTGTGTGCAGTTGGGACTTGGATTGTGTCGTCGACAGTCCGAGGGCGGTGAGTATGGCAGAGCGAGAAGGAAATCAAACTCGAGTATGCAGTAAACAGATTCGACGAGCCGGTAGATAAGGAGTGGTAGGCTTCGTATTGTGTATATACAGACGCTTGCGCTTCGGTCGGGATGAGGAGGCGGAAGAAGCGGTAGGGGGCAGGATGGATGGAAGAGGCGATCACGATGGTGTTGATGGTGATGGTGATGGTGATGGTGTAGGCCGTATTATTAGGTGTGCATGTATATGCGTAGAATTAGAGAGGGAGGATGTGGGAGTAGAATTATATCATCGCATCATATCATATCTTATTCTTAGGACATTGGATAACTTGGTCGTTGATGATTGTTAGTAGATGATGTATGTTGAGGTGTGTGCGGACTGGAATGCCCGGAACGGAACTGAATGACCGAGTGCATGACATGACATCGTCGCTTCTTCCCTCCTCGCTCTTCCCTGCACTGCACAGGGCACATGTTAAAAAAGAGAGTCGAACCCGACGACCTGAAGACCTCGAATTCGGGACGAATCACAAGCCAATTTCGTTACGCCTCCCCGCACCCGCACGCCCCCTCCACTAGAACCGCCCACTAAACCACCCGAGCCATCCACCCACCTCCCACTTGCTGCCAGGGGCGGCAGATGACCCCAGATTTGCCTGGCCACAGCCAATTGGCGCGTGTGCTGACCCTCTCTACCACCACGCTGGCCACGGCTCGACTGCCTGTAGTAAAAAAAGGCGCAGAGTCAGCTGGCCCGTCAATGATTGAATGATTCATGATCAACGAGGTGAGGTACTTGAGAAGCTCGCTACCTGTCAAGACCTGTCAAGTCAAGGCTTGTCCAACGCGCTATGCCTTTCATTGTGGTTCATTGTGGACAAGACAAGACAAGACAAGACATGTACACTGGATACCAAGCAAATAGCCTTTCGTAAAGGCAAAACAGTGGGAAACGGTTGGTGTGAAACTAGAGAGATTGTCCACAAGGTCTCATTATCCTGAGCCGGTGTAAATGAATATCTACAGCAGGTGGGTAATGACTTGGTTGGTTGGGACAAGGGAAGTACCCAAGTAGCTGACTCTGAGGTAAGACTTCTTATCCTCCATTTCAGGAGTCTCACTTAGTCAGAGTCAGCCCTCTTTCCCTTCTACTGTGTTACCCCATGGGGAGTCCCTGTGAAGGAAGACGGTGCTTGAATATCCTGCTGTTAGCAGTCATCCGCCTGCAAGTCAACAGCCGTCTGACATAACATAAAGCACCATGAGCTGGGCTGATGCTGACTTGCTGTGCACCTCCACGGATTCAATTCACAGGTCCCGATCTGGATGCATTCTCTCTGCTCAAGTTGGTGGAAACCAACCACTTGGTCGACTTTATCTGGAGACCGAATTCTCCAGACAAGCTGCTTCTTCAAATGGTTGCCTTCATTCGATCAAGTTCGACTTGTGCCAGAGGGAACAAATTAAACGGTTGAACTGAGCCAACGATACCGGCTGCTGGGTAGTACGGTGGTCCACGAGGTGCTTCCTCGTCTCACTTCTACACCCTCCTCCTGTCCCCCCACCCCCTTCTCCCCCACGACTGCTGCGAGACTGGTCATATATCATCAGCATTCACATGCGTCTACCTCACACCGCCAATTCTCCACTTCCCAACCCACTGACAGACACGGGGTACTCGTTGAGTCGGAGACAAGAGGACTGCGCCAGGCAGAGAACATCAAAGCCATGAGTGAGGAAGCCTCTGCCTCGATTAGGCATTGAACCTCGAAGATGTGTCGGTTTTGATAACGCATCCGCTCTAGCAAGGCCGCCCTGTTTGCGTCTGAAGATTACTCCTAGATGCGCCATAGTCTGCATGTTTGTTTTGTCTATTGTGATGTGGCAACGGCGATCGTGGAACATCGTCGGCGGAAACGGCTCTTTGTATGCCGTTGATCCAACTTCGGTACTGATGTTGGATCTCGGACATTGCCTTTCTAGTTTTCGTAGCGATGACCTCGTCAGACATCCGCCATCGAATGGCAAGTGGAGGAAAATCCAGAGTTGTATGGACCTTCTGACTTCAACCGGGCTCTTCCGTGAGCAAGCTCTCTGCAAAGGCCCGCGCGGCATCCCGTAGTCGTTGCATGACGCCCTCCTCAACGTAGAAATGGCCAGCCGTGGAGACCTCATGGGCCCGGAAGCGCGATCCTGGCACGGCCTGGAGCCGTGCCGTCCACTCGCGGAACTTCTTGACGGCCACAAACGTGTCTGAGTCCCCGTATACAGTCAGGCACGGGTTCTCGACCAACTTCTGCTCTCCTAGCTGGTGCTCATGGGCACTGTTGTTCTTGTCAGCATTACTCGAAGCCGAAACTTTCGACGAGGATCTCCATGATTTCTTGCCGAACGGATGTGGGATTTTCAGAGTCATTAAATTCGTAGCCCAGCCCACCGGCGGCGAAACAAGAAGATAGGCCACCCGCGGATGGATCATGTCTCCCAATCTGTCTAGAGCCTGTTGCTGCTGCGCTGCCCCCGGATCGGATGTGACATCAGGCGCAGATGTACCTGAATGGTGTCCCGTCGCCTTCTTGTGGCTTTTTGTCTTTGCCAGCAAGTCTGCTACGCCCTTCCTCAGCTTGTCCTCGGCGTCAAGCGAGAAGCTACGATGGGAGTCGTGACTGCGCCGCCTGTCCTCGTCCCCTCCTATGCGGAGACCCAGCGACTTGCGCGGGGAAACGCCGCCGTGCCGCTCGGCCAGTGCGGCCCTCGCGCTGCCCAAGATGACGTTCTGCTGCTCTGCCAGGTGTTGCGCGCGCAGTCGGATATCTGCCTCGGCGGAGCCAGCCACCGGTGTGGCGAAAGGGTCGAGGATCGTGTCGAGAGGCGGGATCTGGGAGGTGATCATGGCGCCGTATGAGTAGCCAGCCAGCAGCAGGGTGGGCTGTCGTAGTGGCACCTCCGGCGCAGAAGTAGGAGCAGAAGGGAGGCCGGTGTCGGCAGGACCGGGGGATTTAGGATGGGGGCCTAGTCGTCGGAAGGGGTTGAGATAGTGCACGTAGTAGGAGACAAAGCCGACGAGGGACATGTAGTCCGCCCTCTCGGCCTTGGATGTCCATGATGTATGCCCGGCGGAGTTTCCTGCGCCTCTGTACTGGTGTGTTAGTATGGGTGTAGCTCGGGTAGCCGTCATGAAGCAGGCCGGAGGATGCCATGTTATACCTGAAGTTGAACGTGGCCACGAGGAAGCCGGCCCGCAAGAGAGTGCCGGCGATGGTGTCGACCACGGGATCATCGAAGCAGCCGCCAAGGGGCGCGTAGGGATGGGCGACGATGGCGGCGTGCCGGAGCCATGGCGGAGCTCGAGAGGAGGCGGGAGCGAGGGAGTGCGGATGGTAGATGCGGCAATCGAGGGTGGTGCTGTCGTGAATGCTCGGCAGGGTGAAGGTGAGGGTTGGTTCGGGGAGCATGGCTGGCCCTTCGATAGCCCTTTCAAGGTACCTGGGTAGGTAGGTATGCTATCGTGACCGGCAGCTCAAATCTCTTGGTGTCTCGATGCAATTGCGGGCTGGAAGCATGGCCAATCTACCTGATTCCCATGGGATATGTAGAAATGGATTGCTCGCCGATATGAGTGTGGTCGTGTGAGTGTGAGCTTTCTTAACAGCGGTTTGTTGATCTTGGCTATCCAGTATGTCCTGGACAGTAAGTAGTACTCATGAGTGCCTGCCGAGGTGTAGCGGGGTCCATCCTTCGACGAGGGGTACTCACTCAAGTAACTACCTAGGTAACTTATCGGTAAACATACCGCTCCTGTGTGCAACTCCAATACTCAACACCATCAAGTATCTGTGCATGGTAACCAACAACGTAATCTCAGTGGAAGCCAGGCATCTAGAGGTGGTAGTCCAGTCTATGAAGTTCCCGTATTATACAATAACAAGCTGCATCGACATTTGGTATACAGCAACACTCAAAGAAGGCGTTACATGCAAGGGAGATCGTCACTCTTCCTACTACCGGGTTTCAAGATAGACAAGAGTCAGGACTACCTATGACCTATGACTCTGGCAGAGAATGTTATTGTATTGTGATGCTTCAAAGCATGCCTCTCAGACACGCCATCGCCTCGCCTGAATTCTTTGCGACGATGCTGCAGTGGCCCTCTCCCTCCTCAATGTGAAGGTCCGCAGTGGGCACCAGGGCCGCCGCCTTGACTGCCATGGCCACCGGCACATTGACATCGGCGCTGCCATGCCACATCACCAGCGTGCCCTTCTCTACCTCCAGGTCATCGAGGCCGAAGCCCCAGTCACTTCCAAATAGCCTCGCTTCCCATGCAGGTCCCTGTCCACCGGCCCTGACCGCTTCACGGGTGCTCTTGGTCATTGCGCCTCTCAGCCCTCCAAGGTCAGCATTCCATGCAGCCTGATCCACGGCTGGCCGCGACTTGAACGACTCGGCGAGCATCGCCTCAAACCTCCCCGGGCGGTCGTCGTCCCTTGCCGCCGCCCCAAGCTGGCTGTCCAGGCCGTATGCAATCAGACCCGTTAGCCAGGGCGCCACCCAGAGCAGCATCCTCGAACCAAACAGCATCCCGCTTAGCCCCAGCGCCGGAGGATAGAGGCCCGACATAATGCCTGCTCCGACTAGGCGCGCTCGCGGGATGCGCTTCCAGCACGCCAGGACGTACGGCGCGCCCCCCGAGACGCCTAGCAGGGCAAACCGGGAGATCCGTAGATGGTCGGCGAGCGAGGTGATGTCGTCGGCGTAGGAGAGCAGTGTGCGGTTTGCTTGGAAGCTTGAGCCCCCCATGCCGGGCCGCGATGGCGCTACGATGCGGAGGCCGTGCTGCTGCGCCGCCTCCGAAAAGATGACGGCCTCGTGATGGGAGCCCGGAAAGCCGTGCAGGTAAAAGACCGTCGGTATGCCGGTGCCGTCGGCTGCGCTTGAGGTTGAGGCACCGTAGATGGCATACACAATGGTCCGGCCATCAGCAAGTGCAATCGTCTTCGTGTCTGTCATTGAGCTTGATCTGATCTACCTATCGTGGGTGGCCTCCACCAACACACTGTCGATTGGTGACCGGAAGTTCAATTGATCTACCCCGTATCGACACGGCCATGATGCGCTGTAGGCAGCCATTGCTCTTACAGGGGAAACCGCCGCTGAGCCGATGGGCTGAGACGAAGGATGCACTGGCTAGTGTTTGAGGAGCCTGGGCGCGCTCATAGGCAATTCATATCCATTATCATCGTCCCCCTGCTGGACTCCGCCCACGGACAAGGGCTTTGTTAAATTGGGAAACGCATTGGCTTCGGCATGGCGATTGGTCTAGATTCTTGCTATGCTGTTCGCATCGACCATATCCCTATCAATACGCAAAGTCGCCAAAATCTAGAATCTCTGTCGATGCGGCCCGGATGACATTCCAGTTGAAGAGTATCATAGGTTATCTTTCCCTCTGATTGTTGGGGGATTGCTACACTGCGGTGGGTTTCAACAAGGCACACCTTCCAGAAGTGGTGCGGGTGCCCGACTCCGCTTGCAATCGAGCTGCATCTTACTGCCGGTTACAACCCTCAACGGTCGTCAGGAATAAATGATATGCGGGGATGCTGGAGCCGAGGTCATGGTTCTGTATTATAAAGTTGGAGGTACTACTTGTTACTCTGGCCAGTTTTCCCGGTTAAGGTGCCGGTATGAAAATACTTGCTGTTGAATCGTGACAATGTTGATTGCAGTCGCCTTTCTAGTTCTCTCGTACCTTGCTGGTCCGGCTTCGGCCGCGACATGGTACTTTCTGAGATACTATACGCCTTCGGGGGCCAAATTTACTTCGCTATCGGGGGAGATGGTGATTCCCACATTGCCCAAGGCTGGGACATATTATTTGTGGCCCGGCCTCCAGCCTACCGATAACAGCGGCGTGTATCAGAATGTGCTCGATGGCCGAAGTGGCACTGTAAGCGCACAGTCAACTGAATTTCATCTAAGGCCATGTCTCGAGTTTTCAAGAGAATACCGCGAGAATCTTTTTTGATATTGGCTTGAGGCTCGATCCCTGCGTATTCGTCATCAAAACAAAATTAATACTAACTCTTGACTATCTCAGTGGTGGTTTGGCTCCGGCTGGTGCTGCTCAAATCCAAGCTTACCTTGGGGGAGCGGATTCAATACCTATGCTGGCGAGACAGTCAGCTTCTCCAACGTCCTGAATAGTGACAATTCGGGTTGGACAACAACAGTGGTTCATGAAAGCACGGGAACAACGAAAGCCGATACTTTTGCTTTAGGTAATTGTGCCATATTCAGCTTCTCTAGTTAGGAGGGACCATGACCATGCTAACAAGCTGTAATCAGCAAGCAAGTCATTTAACCAGGTGCTCTTTGCAATCGAGCTGTAAGTGTCTTTGCTTCTAGTCGTCTTAAAGAATACTGACGTTCAGCAGCACTGGTGTCAGCTGGGATTTCGGCCCTCTTGTCTTCAAGAATGTCAAGATCGTATGTCTCCATTCGTCCAGTGCTTCACCGTTCTAATGACTGAGTAGACTTCGACGGGAACCAATTCAGCGTGGTGTACCGGTTCGCCAGAGAACTACAACGGAGCAACAGTGTATACAATTTCCGGAGCGAAGGCTACAGTGAGCGGTGATACCGTGACCTGTACAATTTCCTCCGTGACCCTTTCGAGGCCGGCTTGAGATTTCCTAATTTACTTACATGGAGCTTCCTTGGCATGGACGTATCACCACTCCTCATTATCTACTCGCTCAAGTTCAAGTTGATAATGATTTATGATGTAGCATGCCTAATTTTTAATGGAGATCGATCCTATAGCGATTGAATATCTTTTTTCGTATTGACCGATCAACACTATCCCATTTCCGTGATCGTCGTCCCGTAGGATGGAGGCTATTGAGCTTGGCAAATACCACACTTCCAATCATCACTACAATGGAGTCAGGGTCTAGCCATTTTCATTCAACGCACAAGCTATCACTGGAGTGCGCAATGTACAAGGATACGTCATAGCCAACGTGCTTCTCCCCAGAGGGTTCGTGGGTTCATCATGTCAATAGAATAAATAGAACTTCAAGAGATCTCTGCCTTGATTTCGATCAATTCGTAGCCTTGAACTCTATCCACTGTTCAGAATGGCAGCTTTCGGAGAAACGGCCTCTTTCTCTTGACGACAACAGCATGTTGTGATGCACTCACTTGGGCCTCAAAGGCCGGTCTGTTGTCTCGCCAATCAAACAGCAGCTCTGATGACGAGCCGCTCTCAGAGGTTTACACAGCCTTGCAAAGCTATCCAAATGCGACTGGTAGTTTTCAAACCATAGGGTTTGACCTGACGAAACCATACTCTTCAAACGGAAGCGCTCAGACTGGATGGAGCCTAGATATCCGCGTCGCAACTAACGTCACGTACGACGCTCTCATTTATGATACTTATGAGGAGAACCAGGTTGTCAGAGTCAATCCAACACAGATACTTCTCAACGGACCAAGCGATGCATTCCCGGATAGTGAGCTAGATCCAGGCTGGACAACATGCGTGTATGTTTGGTCGGCCGACCTCAAAGACTGGAATTCAACAAATGCAGAGCAGTCTGATATTGATGGGACATGCACCAATGTTCTTTCCGAGCAGTGTCTATCTGACCTCAGAGCCAACTCAGTATCAAGAGGCCAGTGTATGGCCGCAATTGGTGCCTCAGAGAGTTGCAAGGAATTCATGGGTGTTGGGAATGGCGTCTCCAGTAAGCAGTTGCTTTCACGATCACTGCACACATCTTTGAACTTTGCCGTTCCTAAGCAGCATAAACACCCGCTGACGATTCCCAGCTTTGGATCTTGCAGACACAAACCCGAATCTTATAAATGACACAAGGGGCCTGTATGAGGTCTTGACGGTCGTACAGCCATACAGCTTTTCGAACAACACTACTGATAGCCTTGCTGCGTACGACTATGCTGTAACCTCCATATGGCCTGTGCTTGTCAATATCTACTACAAGGACGATTCGTCGAACATGAGCTTTTCTGATTTTAGATGTTTGCGAGCACAGAACATCAGTGAGGGGAGCCGAAAGCCCGAGACATTAGGTGTGAGAGAACAGGACGCTTCGGAGAACTGGGGATGTCATATCGCGCTTCCGATGCTATGGCATATGATTTCGACAGCAGCTGTTCTGGCAGTGTTGTTTGTCATATAGCTATAAGTATCACGTCGCAATAATATCTGAGATGTAGCAAGTCCGCTGTTGGTTTCGAGAGATATCCAATGTGCGATTATGTCATTGAAATATGTTATTATTATCATGGATTCGGACGAACGGAGGTTTTAATCATCTTCAACGAATCTTATCCTAAGAACGCAATATCAATTCGTGGTGGTGACGAAGCCGAATGATCCCATAAAGTTCTCGGTACGAATTAAACCGACTCTAAGGTGTCTGGTTTCCTTTAGTTTGCTAAAGGGTGTTGATTTTCACTGGTGGATTGACGAATGCGGAGAAATGCAACGGCGATGTTATGCTACCAACGAAAACGTAGCCACTTTCAAGACAAGAAACCTGCGGGGCTGCATTAGGGCTATATTGAATATTTTCATAATGGCACATAGGTCACAACGTATAAGATGCAGACGTTATATTGTAGGTAGTTTCAAAGAATGGATTATCTCGGTCCCAAGGCTGGATAGGAGTGGAAAACAACATGCTTTCTTCACTACTATTTTACTTGGCATTTGCAACCGTTTCCGCTGTACCTTGCTCTGGCGGTGTGAGTTACAATCATGCTGTCCCCGTGTCGGTCATTGATCTAATTAAGCTTTTGCAAAGAAACCACGTCATACGGTATGGCTATGCGGTGACAGCACGATGGCCCCTGGTGGGGGACATAATGGCACGGAAGGCTGGGGACAGTACCTGCACTATTCCTTCGACTCGTCTTTAGTCCGAGTAAACAATTCGGCTTATGCTGGACGAAGCGCGAGGACATTCACTAGAGAGGGGCGCTTCCAACGGATCTTTGATGAAGTCAAGCCTGGTGATTGGGCAGTCATTGAGTTCGGCCATAATGACGGTTCGCCATCCCTCAAACCCATCTTTTGCACAATTGTATGGCTTACAGGTTAGTAGGGGGTGTGCCAGAAACCGACACGAAATATCGAGTTGATTGTCCCGGCATAGGCGACGAGACTTGTCCAGTTACGTATAAGTAAGACCAAGACTTCGACGTCCTTTTCCCTCTATTATTCTCATGGTAGACACTGACATGGTATCTTGGATTCAAGCAACCAAACCGAAATTGTGCAAACATACGTGACTTATCTTCGCAATGCGTCCTCCATCTTTTTATTCATGGGCGCCAAGGTCATCATCTCTTCTCCAACCCCAAATAATCCATGGGAATTCGGCTCGTACTCGTGGATCCCCAGTATATATGAGTATTATTCATGGTACATCGTCGAGAGCTTAGGAGGACCATCAGCGGGGATATACTATGTCAATCACGGGGACTACGGCGCTGAAGCGCTAAAGCTGATGGGTCAAGAGGCTGCGGATGCGAACTTCCCAATGGATCACACACACACAGCGCCATACCTGGCAGACATCTTCGCGCGGTCCTTTGTGTTGGGGCTCAAGTGTGGCACTGCGCCATTACAGGGGTATGTCGTCAATGCCACATCCAGGCTTGAAGGGGATATCTTGGGAACTTGCCAACCTGTAAATGCCACTCTTCCGATTTGACTAAAATCAACCACTTGAAAATCAAGCATATAGTAGGATAATAAATACTGTTGTCTTGTTTGCCTCGTTTCTATCATGAAAAGGAGCATGTTCTGTAGGATATCACGACCTACATAGGAACAGCTATTTGTCTCGATCGCGCAGTCTCGGCTTAACAGGCACCTCAACTTGACGAGTTGCTTCAGACGCGATAAGCACTGTAGCCAAAATGACTCATCATGGCGATTTATGGAATCAGATACAATGAATGATATGGTGTGAGGT